TGTGTGTGTGTGTGTGTGTGTGTTCTGCAGGCATTATTAAAGTGGGAAGATGGAAGCCGATGCCCATCCACTACCTGACAGATGCTCCAGAGGCAACTGTGGCCGACATGCTGCTGGATGTTTACCACATGGTCACACTGAGGATCCTGCTGCACAGGTCGGCTGTGTGTGTGTGTGTGTGTGTGTGTGTGTGTGTGTGTGTGTGTGTGTGTGATTTAACTGAAAATAAGTTATAATAAGTTCAACAAATCAATCAGCTGATTATAATGACTGTAGTGTGATTGTTTTCAAACTTAATATTTCTTTAAAATCAGGACATTTTCACTCTTTCATTAACCTCCCTGCTGCCATTGGGTCAAAAATGACCCCTAATGTCTGATTGTGAGACCTCAATATTTTAACTCTCAGGGGTCATTTTGACCCAAGGGCAGCAGGAGGATTAAAGATGTACAGCTTAGACTCAGTTTTGTAAATGTATGTAGGTTTTTGGCTTCTTAGTTTAGCAGGTTTTTTTTTTACAGTTAATTCAGTTATTTTACCTGTTTTTCACTGTGGCTGATGTAAATATTGTCTTACCTGACTAATATATGGAGCAGTTACCAACAGTATAACACATGTTGGCTGAAATAGCCAAAATAATTTAAGACTAAAAAACAGGATCATTAATGGCATAAAAAGTTCAAATCTATTTTTGAGAGTCACCTGAAACAAAATCTAGATGAGTTGGAATAAATGTCTGAAAAATAAGACAAGATTTCAGTTCTGGTTTGATTTAGTCTTAAATATGATATAGTAAGTTTTTCTGTACACGAACGTAAGAAGAGTGAAAGTGTGTGATTATTTTTCTTCAAAAGAAAAGAATTAAAATCAGATATTTGTTGTAGTTTTTCCCGCCTGGAGGAGCTGCCGTCTGATCAGTGGAGCCATGCCACGGTGAGAAACGCCCTCAAAGAGCTTCTCAGAGAAACCAACCAGAGTGCTTTGGCCAAGGAGTGTCCTCTGTCTCAGGTAACTGCTGTGTGACCAATTAAACCCACTAAAATCAGTCTGGGAGGAAATTATTATTTTTTTTAACTTGGGCAGTATGACGGCTTAAGGGTTAAAAACAATTCCTCACAGCAAAAAGGTCCTGGGTTCAATCCTCGGGTTGTGTCCGGGTTCTCCAGTTTCCTCCCACAGTCCAGAAACTCTCACGTTAGGCTGCCTTCAGGCCAAGACCTCCTTTCCAAAAGAGATGTGTGATCTCAGTGGGAGTTSCCTGGTTAAATAATAACTAATAAATAAATAAATTTATCCAGGCAGGTCAAAAGTCAAGTAGTTTGTAGAAGTGCTGGAGTTGAAATAATTAATATTAGGAAGTTTTTGACTCCTCTTTACGGTAAAAAGATCTAATTAATAGTTTTTTTTTTTGTAAAATAATCTAAATGAAACATAAAATTCTATTATTTGCCTCATTTCCTTTATGTTTCTATTGATCTTTAGAGCTGCATCTGCAAACATTTCATCACTATTATTTAATCAACTACTTCAGCATCTAGAAGCTAATAATATGCTAAGCAATAGCCAACATGG